AATAATATAGCAGACTTTACCCAGCTTATTACAGAACTTCACATGCATCTATCTAAACCAACTCAATATTGTGAGCATCTAATTCCTTTAAAAGAATATAATTAATAAAAATTATAAATGATGATTTGAGGATATTAATTAATCAGAAAATTCATTAACTGATATTATTTATAATGCAACTCAATACTGTGGGCATCTAATTTCTTTAAAAGAATATAATTAATAAAAATTATAAATGATGATTTGAGGATATTAATTAATCAGAAAATTCTTTAACTGATATTATTTATAAATGCAATATTAATTAATGAAACAAGGCTAAGAAACATTTAAAACATAAGAAACCATGGGAGAAGCTCGCTACTTTTAAACCAGTGAAAATCAATTTTAGCTTGCTATTAATTTTGGAAAAATATTCTGTGCATTTTTGATGAATGTTTCTAAACAGAATATGTTTACTAGTTAAAGACTGACATGCTCTAGTTAAAATTTATATAGCATTTCTCTAAAATTAATCCTTATCTAAATTTTAAAATAAACTTCATAAAAATGAATTACTTTACATACTGAAAGCAAGAGCTGTGCTACCCAAAATATATGGGTCTTCAAACACAAATAGGAATTTTCATGTTTCATTTGGAGAAAGTACAGAATCAGCTAATCTTTGAAATATGGTAACAGGTAGTTTGGCGACATTTTGGTAAGGTGATAAAGGTTACTAGCTAGGACTTTAACAGTGTACATGGATAAAGTCAAGAGTGTGCGCAATGCCATTTTTGTGCAATTCTGAGATTTTTTTTAAGTGAAAATATGTTGACGTGTACATGAATACCATGTATGTGCAATTAATTCTTAAAAACACGGGAAGCAGTTTGTGATTCTGCCCTTTCTCCCAATTTCGCACCTAATCTTCGTCATGATTACGCATTTTTGGGCTCTAGTGTAGAATTGAGTGCCCCTTCGATTAGCGACAATTTTTTTTTTAAATTTTGGCGATGAAACCTCACTTCTGGTTACCATGATAGTTTTAGCTTCTTGATTTTATTTAAATTAAAATAGATTGATGTGTACATGGACAAATTTCAGGCAGTGTGCAATGCCTAGTTTGTGCAATTCTAGGATTTTTTTTTAAGTGAAAACAAATCGATGTGTACATGGACACAGAGTCTGTGCAATTCTTCGACTTCTTATTTTGGTTTTGTGTAGCGGCCATCTTGAAATTGTGCCTTCTAATGAATTGAATATTGAACTTGGCCTCAAAAGAGAATCGCCAAAAAAGAAGGGGCACCCAATTGTAACCTTTTACCTTATTTTTGTTTCATAAAAGTTCTAGTATAAGCGTAATTCGGCTAACAGATTATTGGAAAAAATGTTGAGTAAAAAAAAAACATGCCTTTACTTTGTGAAAACAAAATGGCGTCCAAAACAAAACTAGCAAGTTCCTGTAGCAGGGTTGGTTGCCAAAAAATCGCCAAATTACCATAATCCGAAGATTAACCGCAGAATCGCCCACTGCTTGGTGCATTTTTAAGAACTGCACATACTCGGTATCCATGTACACATCGACTATTTTCACTTGAAAAAAATCCCAGAATTGCACAAAAATGGCATTGTGCACTCCCTTGACTTTCTATGTACACATCGACCTATTTTCACTTAAAAAGTCAAAGAAAATTGACAAAAATCCAATTCTTCTTACTCTTGTAAAAAGCGCCAAACAAATAAGTGGGCGATTCTGCAATTTAGCGTTTCATTCTTATAAAAATGTTCATTAATTATCATTTACTGAGCAAACATTCATATATTTGAACATGCTGGTAGGTAGAGCTAATATCTCTTTTTATCCCCAAATGTTATGGTCAGCATGTTGCAGCAAAAGGTTAACAACAGTATTGGTTAGCAAATCATTATTCAATTTTTGATTAATGAAGTTATTACATCACAGATTTACTCCATATGTAAAAATCATTTTGGAAGTGATTTAGCAGATTTATCTCTTCAGTCCATTTACGAAAATTATAAAAAGAAAGAAATTCAAGTCTAATGAATTGAATATTGATATTGTACAAATACGGGTCAGCATTCTTATTTTTTTACAATTAAAATTCCTAGGTACTGGAAAAGTACATTACATAGCTATGTGACTAACTACAGAAATAATGTGCAAGTCATTTCGTGATATTCAATAAAGTTTAGCTGATTAATTCTTGCTTTTATTTGAACATTGCTTAAATACTGAACATATTTATCTACTACAAGTTCTCTTTTTCTAACACCAATAAATATAGTTATTTTTAAATTCATATTATTATAACCATCAGATATATTGTAATTGCATTTTAACATAGGTATAAATCCTCTGGCACAGCTTTAGTATTAGTCCTTTTTGGCGAGAAATTTGTTTGGCGACATTTTAGAGCGATAAATGAAAAATTATGATAACCTTGGTAACCCTAAACACTGAGCTTAAAACATGCCGCCATTTCTGTCCACGCATATTTAACGAATTTGGTAGGTATCGGAGCTTTGATGGCAGGAGGGATTAATTGCATGTTTTTCTTAAAGTTACTTTTGTGTTAGGAAAGCACAATATTTAAAATATTTTTTAAAAAGCCAAAATTTTAATAGTTAAAACTGGTGCTTTTAATATTACATCGCATGAGTCTTGACATTTTTTCATATGTCAACTCTGCATATTATAAACTCCACCCCCCCCCAGGAAAAAAAAACACATTTTCAGTAGCATGAGGTAAAACTTTTTGGTTGTTTCCTTGTGCTAAGAAGATCAAAATTACCATGGTCTAAAAATACTTATTTGCCTCATATTACACAACTATAGGGATTGTGTAATTGCATGAATTCATAGGTTCAAATCAGGACCAAAATCAGGTTTCATTATTGCTTTTATAACATTTTTATAATTTGTCTGACTATATAAAAAATATAATGTTGCTTAGATTATGGAATATATTGCTTATAATTTAGAGTTCTCAAATTTTGTAAATCTTACAACCTAACAGCCGTATATGAATAACCTTCACTGGGTATTATTACTTTTATTAATAGTATGTTGACATAACAGTCGACTTTTTATTTTAAATTTTATGCAAATTTTCTACATTACTTAAACATTTTATCTAACAGAAATCTTCATTTTTCGTAATAAAAACTCTATAATAAAAGTAAGAGTACAATTTATACATAAAAATTTGACTACATGGCAAGCACTTAGATACTGATTTCAATGTCTTTAAATTTTATTATTATAAGTTTAGATATATTCTTATTAAGTTAGGATATACTTTTATTCTATTATAAAGTTTAGATGTACAGAACAGAAGGCACACTTTGTGCTTACGACTCAGTCAACCACTTGTGGCAAGATAACTTATGATAACAATTAACTTCAAATGTAAAATTTAAATTCAAATAAATGTGTAGCCAAAGGCTACACAAATCAATTTAATGCAAAGTTGGTTAAAAACTTAACCGGCATGGAATTCAACTATCAGCAATTATAATGCAAGCCTGAAGACTACAAATCTTATCTTATCTAGCAACCTAGTAATATGGCCTCGAAAGGCAAAACATGGTTTGTTTTGAAACTAAAGTAACAAACTAAAAACTTCATTTAGATTCTGGTGAGAAAACGGATGGAGGAAATTGACAGTAAAGATCCCAAGCATAAAATAACTCTGGTTACAAAATAAAGGAACGCTACAATATACTTTGTTCCCTGATTAATTATTCACTACATGAAATAGTGTAATGCATTTTTGTTTGCATCATATACAAATTATTTATTTTATTTAAATGCTTTCCAAAACTGAACAGGTTTTTTTCAAACATATTGACCATATTTTTCGACCTATAGATGCAACACTTCTTCACTTCAGAAGTAAGATTTAGAATTAAGAAATAAGAAAATAAGAGAGAATCATGAATAGAAAATAAATACATGTGCTGGCTAGCAGAAGAAGGATACCTTCATAAAGTACTTTTTAAGAGAAACTGGCTCAGATTCACATTACATGTACGGAAAACTACAAAAACTCCCATAGCCAGCCTGAACTACCACTGTTCAGTGGCTATCACTCCACCACTAGTGGATTCCAATGACTGTTCGAATTTTTCACAGAAATCATCATCATTTATGATGATTGTTGTATTATTACCATTGGTATAAAATTTACTCATTATAATAATTTAATTTTAGCTTTTAAATTTTAGTCATAAATTACTTCTAATAAATTAAGGGATTAAAAAATGCACATTTCTTAATATTTTTACCATTTACAAAATTTAATCATAAAAAATATTTCTAACACTGGTACAAAACTTGCCCATTATAATTTAATTTGATTTCCTTCATTTTGAAATATTTTTTATTTTCTTTTAATAACAGAATCTAAGAAACTAAAGTAACTAAAGTAACATTAGTTTGAAATGCATTTATTAACCTTTTGTAAATTTCATTCATTAAACATAAACTAAAATTAACCTTTTGTAAATTTCAAATATTAGCTAAGTACTAATATAATAAAATATAATATTAACTAATACTTAAAATATTAATGTTTAATACATTAATATTATATTCTGTACTTTAAAATATTAACCTTTTGTAAATTTCATTACTCATAACATAATAATTGCTATAAATTCATTTACAGTAGTGTTTCAAGAATTTATCATAGCAGTTCTAGAAATGTTGAAAATTAGAGAAAGACTGTTTATTCTGATTAAGAGTTTATTTTTTAGAATTGTTATTTAGTCTAGATCGGGTTTTGTTGACAATCCGCCATTTTTTTTCCGATCTTCAAAAGCCGGGTCTACCTTGGCGACCAACGTTTGTCGCCAAATCAAAAAATCGCCAAAAGGACCAATACTAAAGCTGTTCCAATCCTCTAAGTTTTATTTGGTCCACACATAAAATTGTATATCTACGGTTAATTTAAATATGAAAAACTAACAGCCATATTTTAATTACAAAAACTTACTTCTGTTGATCGGGAGACATGTTTTACGAATTATAATCCTGTAAGAAAAAAATTACGAGGTGATGAAACCATAATAAATAACATTTGTATTCGTATAATAAATTGCATAACTAATTTTAAAGATACTAACAAAATACATAAGATACCATTAGAATTTGTTCATTTTTATGCATAAATTAAGATTATTTTACTGCACAATAAAAACAGATGGGCTTAATATTAAAAATGATAAAATCTTGAGTATGATAATCAACACCATTATATCACTTTTCTTGTGAAAGTACACATTTAAAACTGCTTTAGCAATTAGACAACAGAAAAGATACTTCCCCCGCCCCCAAAATACACATATATTAAAAAAAAAATCAGTTATAAGCGAAAATTAAAAAAAAAAAAATAATAATCTGAACTATAACTTAAATGAAATTACTGAAAATGAGCTGAACGAAAATAAGGTGCTTAGTATTAATACAAAGAAAATGTGCAGCTAAGAAATTATCTGAAAAGATATGTAGCAGAAACCAAGCAAGCTTTTGAATTAAAGAATAAATAAGGATAATAAATTTGCTGAAAGGTTAGCAAGAATGAATAAGGATAAGAAAAGCAATGAAGTGACTTGATAAACAATAAATTCAAAATAAATTCATTTAAATTACGGTTTTACGAAATGTATTTTAAACTACAGAAATAAACAATTAAATACTAATGTTTGAAAAAGAAACACTAATTGTTTATAAAAAATTCGAAACAAGGAAAAACAAAAAGCATAACTCTTACTCGGCAAATGAATGAGTATCAAAATTTTATAGAAGACAATAATTTTCCAGCATAGGTAATGCTATGCATAAGCAGTGCTGCACTTTTACCTTACGAAATTAAACTCCAGCAGCACCGAAAGGTATTTAAATCCGCAGCCGGAACTAAAATTCAATTTTGTTTCCCACCCTCACCTTTCCCAAATCGTAACCACTGAGCATGTTACTTTCCACATTTATGCGCATGCGCAATATCCTCAACTCTAATGACGGCATGGAAAGAACGTGAAACAAACAGCGGCGTGAACACTGAGGTTAGAACCGGCGTGAAAAAGGCGTGGATCAAAGATCAAGGGCAGCCATCTTTCCCTATTATAATATTTCTTATCTGTTATTGCAAATAGAAGTAAAAACTAAAGAAAACTGACAGTTAAGGATAAATTCCGTGCAGTTTCGATTTTAAAAATCAGTATTAGCCTTTGGTATAAATCAAGCAATCATTTGTATAAACCAAATGAAAATATTTTCAGAAAACAGGAATTGTTTTATAACCTTCTTCAGTAAACAATGAATTTTAGTTGCTATACAGCAATAATTCTGTGAGTGCTAGAAAATAATTCTGCATTTTACAAATGGCAACAAATAAGAACAAGTGAAAATAAAATATAGCTTTTGACACGGATGGAACTATGTTCGCATATCCATAATAGTTTTTGATATGATTACAGATAAGAATCCCTACCATTATGAAATGATAAGGAAGTCTTGTTAGATTATCACAATAAATGTTCTCCGGAGCAATCCTTTTTGCGCTGATTTTTGCAAAGATTTGATTTTTCTGCTCAGATGTTACCATAAAACTTGTCCAATTTTACTAGCAGCGCAGTTTTATCAAAGATCTTTGGCTTTACAAGTAGCCTAGCGATTAATGCCGGATTAAGACTTTTAGAGGCCCTAAGCACTTAAAAAAATTTGTATCCTCACATATCTTTATGAGATCTTTTCCTTCATTCCTCCTCTCTCTCTCGGTTTTGGCTTAGCTGCGCCTAGTATTCCATGATAAAACCGGCAATGACAAAAATTCTGGTGCTCTCTTTCTTGAATAATTAAGGAGCTTTTTATGGTGGCCCCTTTCCTTGATGCTCTAAACACTTGCTTATATTGCTTGATGGTTAAGACAGCCCTGAACCTTGCTTTACGAGCGCAGAGAGTTAACACTGTTTTCCCGTATGACAGGAATGATTTAATGAGTTTCGAAGCCCTCCTCAAACTGGGAGCTCCTAACGGGTTCCCCTTCAAAATTATACTTTTTATATCATGGTCAGACTTCATAATTTATTACCACTAGTCATATTTAAATTTTAGTGCATGCAAGATGTGAAAAATGTGAAGGGCAAAAGTACCTTTTCAGAAGTTCAGCATATTGTTATTAATATTTACTCACTATGGAGGCCTCTTTCAAGCTAGGCGCTCCCTGCAACTGCGGATGTCGCGGGGCCGTAAACCGGCCTTGTCCTACGCGCATAGTCGCTTGCAGATACAAAACATACAACATTCATGATAATCCAAATAATGCACCGCGCAGTTTTCAAGAGAAATTAGACGGAACATTATTAATGTGAATAAGTCTTAATTGGCTAAAGTAAATTTATAATACTTTTTACAGACTTGCTCGAAAACATTTTGAACTTGCTTCATTAGATGTATAATAAAATTATACCATACACATTTGACATTTGAATTTAGGTGAGGTTTGGTTAGGGAGCTGAATTCATTCATTGTGTTATCCTTGCAGCTCAAAAAATGTAACTGTGATTAATATGCTGTAGATTACAAACCTTAACGATAATATAAAAAACCCATTAATAAACATCCTATAAGGGGTATGTTGTATTTTTATAATAAAATGGGGAAAAGAGAAATATGAATGTATTCATAGCATTTAAACTGTCTGCACTATTAACAACAAAAGGTGGCTACGAAATTGTTGCTAAAGATGCGTAATATATATTATAGTTAATGATTTTATTGTAATTCATATTTAATTTGGTTTATTTGATTACGGTAAAGTACTCGAGAGCTCTCTGCCTAAGACGAAGAATATCTTCGTGGAAAATTTTCTAAAAGGAACTGGCTCATATCCACGTTACAAATAGAAAAAATCACGAAAACGTCCACACGGTCAACCCCTTCGTCTGGAATCAAGCCTTGGCCGAGCAACCAGCATTCAGCGACTTTACCCAAGGCCAACCTTTACCGCTCAGCGGCTGTTGGTCCGTTACTCATGTGACATTTTGTATATATTTCTTTTTCTGAGTGTCAGAAGCTCCCTATCATGTTTCCAAGTTTAGAGTACGAAAGTCTCAGTGAATTTCAATTTTTATAACAGATTTATTTTATTACATGATAATAAATGAAAGTAGAATATGTTAATATCCACGTTTATGTATCAACATGCAATTATGTATGTAAAGACAACTTACCTATCATATAAATTTTTTGCATTTGTTGGCTGGGCCATCGGCTTACCAGATACTTTTCCAAACTGTTATAACTCTGCAACAAAATCTCCAATATACAAGTATACTATATATCGAAGGTTGAATTAAAGTTCTGCAATTCTACTAACAAGTTAAAGTTACAGTTTTACTAACTACCTACAAGTTCTACTAACAAGTTAAAGTTACAAACTACTAACAAGTGAAAATAACCAAGTTATAAAGTTACCAAGTTCTACTAAAGTTACAATTCTACTAACTTTCTCAAAGGAGAAAATATACTCAATAATCCATTAGTAAGTATATAACTGAAAAGTTCCACCACATAACCAGAACCGAATATTTCGAATCTGACTTGTTCAAGGATCAACAATAATTGCATAATGTACACAGTGTTTTATAAAATAGGATACTTTTTGAAGAATCATACAGCATCAACAAATTGGTGTATCAGAGGCGGACTGCAAAAAGCAGATTTTGCTGAGGGAGGGGGGAGGGATTATAAAAATAAAATTTAGCAATCACAAAAGATTTTTAATTTGTACTTTTTTCCCAATATTAACTATACAAGTGATCTGCCATAGAAATTTGAACTAAAATGTGTTTTATGCCAAAGAAATCTATCTGTGTAATAATAATTGGTTGAAAATTAACTTTGATATGCCAATTTTTATTTAAATATTTTATAATTCTACGTACTTATTTATTTATCTTCGCACGCTTTTTTTTTTAATGAAAAATGTCTAAATCTATAGTAAAGCCTATGTAATAGGAAAAGCCAATTGAGTCAATATTGAACGTAAAATTATATTTTCTAAAAATACTATCGATTTCGAGAGAGGTAACAAGATGTTCCACTTCTTCTCGAAACAGCAGGAGGAAATTTATGCTTGTCTGAAATTTATAGTATTTTGTTATTTAACCAATATCAATGTAAATTTGATTTTTGCCGAATTTTACATATGATAAATAGTTTCAAATTTAAATACAATGTGTATTAGCTAGATTCAAAGGTAATATATAAAAAGGTTTTTTTTAATAAAGTCATATAAAGAGGGTTATATAAAAGGGTTTTTTATATAAACTTTTAATAAAGTCATATAAAAAAGGTTTTTTTTAATAAAGTTCACTTTGCAGATATATTAGTGCCAATACTAAATTTGAAAATTCTGGTAATCAAATCGTCTCCGTTCTTTTTTGCTTGCTTACTGAATGAAATGATGTACTAATTTCTTCTAAAGTGTTTAAAATAGAATATTGTTTTGTTATTAAATTTTTCATTAAAAGAGGTCTGAATCCCCCCCAGGGGGGAAAAAAGAAAAAAGCTTATATCATGTGTATGTTGATTCGTCTCCCTCCTATTATACAGTAAAAGAATGGGTAAAAAAAATTCGCTTGGGCTAAAAATCTGTAGATTATTCTCTAGAAGGTCAACCATTGAAGATATTGGTATCAGAAAATATTGCTCGTGTTTCAAGAGGAAATATTAAATGTGAGAGAAAACAGCAAGATTGGATGTATCTAAAACAATTGCTTTATGCACTGCACATGAAAACGTTCACATGAAAAGTCTCTGCACAACGGGTATCCTGAATTCTTTCAGCAGTTTGAAAACAACAACGTATCAGTGCAATTCTAAAACAGCAATGCAGGCTTAAATACTTTGGCCAAGTCCCTTACAACCCAGATGTAGCTTCAAATGATTATTACCTCTTTTTCAAAATGAAATGAGCTTTATGGAAAGAAATTTAATGATGATGATGGTGGGAAAAGAGCAGTTATGAAAGGTTTTTAAGACAAAACCTTCACATTACTTTTTCAGGTGCACAGAGCTCGTTGCTTGTTACACCACGTGAAAAATCTATTGACCTCTAAGGAAATCACACTGAAAAAGAAAAAAAGTAAAATTTTCTTTGTCTTCTAGAAGTATATTAGGCCGGATTTCGAATGCGATCAAACTGGCGAAAGAAGTAACAATTCCGGCATGCCAAAAAGAAAGGAGGGAAGACAAAAACTTTAATTTCCTAATTCGATATCTGGATTGCTTGAAACTTCATTTTTTAACTTATTTTACAAAGTTTCGTGAAATTAGGTTTAGGGCTTTGTAGAGATATTAGGTATTTTTTTAAAGCAGGAGTGATGAAAAATTAGCAATCGCCTTCTCCGGGAATCGAACCACGGACTTCTGGAATTCCGGCCCAGCGTGCAGAACCCCTACACCACGAAGGCACGCTAGGAAAGTGGGAGAAATACCTTATATACTCCTCTTTTTAAAGGGCGACTGGGGTTTTTAAGGAGCCAAATCCTAGGTGTGGAGAATATTCATCCAACACCCTTTTAGTTCGGGCGCCACTGTAGAGACATTAGATATTTTTTAAAGCAGGAGTGATGAAAAATTAGCAATCGCCTTCGCCGGGAATCGAACCACGGACCTCTGGAATACCGGCCCAGCGTGCAGAACCACTACACCACGAAGGCACGCTAGGAAAGTGGGAGCTTATAGCTTTATTATTCAGCCATTTTATTATTATTTTGTCTATTCTTTTACTTCTACTGTTGTCGGCTTTCTCCAGGATACAAATTAGTTAATGCACTATTTAAGCCCAGAGTTCTTTTCGAGAGACAGCTTTCGACAGTTATAGCTGACCCTTAAGCTATTACTTTTTTCTGCATACGAACTCGGTTTAAG